GCATCATGATCCACGAAGAATTCTTGCAAGGATCGTTTGTTGCAACATGAACTGTTTTGTGGCCGTGCTCCATGGACCACAAAGTGGGAGACCCTTGCAAGAACGCAGACTTTGGTGGGAGGAGACTGGAAATATTCTCCACTGCTTCTGTGATGGACATCCCTTGTATATCCTGATGGATGCGAATGCAAAGACTGGTCCGATGCAGCCACCCATTGTCTTCAATCATGATGATCAGACATCGAGCAACACGCCTTTTCTCATTGAGTTTTTGGACAGCCTGGGACATTGTCTGCCGTGCACCAGCACAATCCATGAAGGATCGCAGCACACCTGGACCACACCGGATGGCCTCAATGAACATCGTATTGATTATGTTACCATCCCACAAGAAATGCTGCCCCGATGCACTTGGTCGGGCATTGTGTCCACGCTCGACACTGGACATGTCTCTTCAGATCACACAGCGACGGCTATTCAGTTGACATGGACTGAGACCATTTCTGCTTCACATCGAGCGCCTAAGAGATTGAATCACGACCGTAGCAAGATTCAACATTGTTGGGATAAACTCGATTTTAGCAACTTCACTGCCGAAGAATGGATGTGTGACATTGAGACCCAGGTGCAGAAAATGAACACATCCTTTCACAGTGCACTTCAAGAGGCATGTCCACTCATTAAAACACAACCCAAGAAATCTTTCATTGATGACCAAACGTGGCAATTGCGTGCCACCAAGCTTGGGCTGCGTAAGAGACTACAACATGCCAAAAGACAGAGTAGATTTGACTTGCTCAGCAAACTCTTCCAGATCTGGAGAGGAACAAATCAAGATGTGACACCTTTTGTCCATCATGAAACTACAGTTCTATGTGGAACGTTGAAGCTTTCCTGTGAATACTGGAGATGCTCAAAACAGCTCAAGCAACGCTTGCAAAAGCTCAAAACGAATGCGCTTCAAGCTGTCATCGCTGACTCTGGCTCACAAGCGTCGGCAGGAGCTCTTTTGCATGTGTTAAAGCCTTTCATCGGTTCCACGAATCCCAAGAAGCAGAAGCAAGCGAGTCTCCCTATCGTAAGACAAAGCGATGGAACCATTTGCGCTACTCCTCTTGCTGCGCAAAACAGATGGATTGAGTTCTTCCAAGCCATAGAAGGTGGACAAAGAATGACCCACAGTGAGGCCAGAGACCTGTGGATTGATAACCTGCAGGGGTTCTTGAAGGAGGTTGACATTCACTTGCAAGTTCAAGAAATGCCCACATTGTGTGAATTGGAAGCAGCATTCAGACGTGTGCCTGTTGGTAAAGCCATCGGAATGGATGAAGTGCCACCGGAACTTTGCCATTTCTGTCCGGCACAACTTGCAAAGATTTGTTACCCTCTTTTGCTCAAAGCGGCAGTCTATGGACAAGAGGCTCATGAGCATAAAGGTGGCCAATTAGCAATTGCATGGAAACGAAGAGGCGATGTCCGTGATTGCCAGACACATCGGTCACTCCTTAGATGGAAACAACAGGAAAACAGACCCACGGCAGTTGTCTTTCTCGACTTGACTGAAGCCTTTTATAGGACACTGAGGCCATTAGCTGTTGGTGGAACTTGTTCCGATCATTGTATCAGCCTGATGTGCCACAAGCTTGGTCTCGAGTCCGATGCTTTCCAAGATTTATGCCGATTGCTTCAAGAACCATCAGCACTTGCGGAAGCTAAGGCGCCAAGACACGTCCAAAGAATGTTGCAGGCCATTCACACGGACACTTGGTTTAAACTCGGTCAACAGACAGACATCGTCCGAACTGAAATCGGTTCGAGGCCAGGAGACAGTTTTGCGGACGTAGTGTTCGGCCTGCCGTGGGCCAAGCTATTGCAAAAATTGGAAAAACGCCTGGTGGCACAAGGAATCCTCGAATACATCCCTGACATTGAGTATCCGACTCCTTTTTCATTTCCTGATCATGCGGCAGCACCGAGGATACCGCTACTCGGTCCTACGTGGATGGACGATCTGAGCGTCCTGATCACTGCACCCACCAATGCAGAGCTCATTTCAAAGACACAAATTGCCATCAGTTATTTACTTGATTCTTGTTTGGATTTTCAAATGGAACCGAATCTCAAAAAAGGAAAAACTGAAGTTATGTTCACCTTCAAAGGCCCTCAATCACGGGATTTCAGACGAAAGTATTTCAGTGATAAAGCTTGCGTGCCAATTGTTTGTGAACGTCAAACTTTTGAAATTTCGGTTGTCCCTAGATACCTTCATCTCGGGGGCTTAATCCATCACAGAGACATTACCAAGCAAGAAATTAAACGCAGACTTGCGATTGCAAATCAGGCTTTCCAACAGCATCGTCGTGTTCTATATAGAAACAAAAATGTTGACTGGAAAATCCGATGTGACATTTTCAATACGCTTGTCCTGAGTAAATTTCTGTATGGTTTAGAGAGTTGGACCTTCAAATCTCAACAAATGCGCAGCCAGATTCACAAGGGTATCATGAAGCTTTATCGCAGGCTCTTGGGTGCGTCCCATGATGCCCACCTGACAGACCTTGATGTTTTGGTTGCTACTGAAATGCCTGACCCGACTGAGCTGCTCCGTAGAACAAGACTGCGGTATTTTGGTACCATCCACAATTGTAAAAACCATGCGCACTGGGGACTCCTTCAAGAGGATACTGAATGGGTATCTTTGATGCGTGATGATTTGCATTGGTTGTGGACACAGATAGGCCAGGCTGCCGGCCTTGGGGACCCATGCCTGCACTTCCCACAATGGCAGGATCTGATCATCCACCATGGTGTGTTTTGGAAAAAGCTCATCCGAAGAGGGATACGACATGCTTGTCTCCAGCGAAAAAAAGAATATCATGCAGTCGAACTCCACCAAAAAGTTGGCACGTTGCTGAAAGAAGTTGGTCTTGTTTCAGAGTTACCGTCGCAGAGACGGTCATCACCCTCACCTGAGGATGATCGCCAATATGGATGCATGCAATGCCAAAGACACTTTGCCTCTCTTGCAGGGGAAAGTGTACACATGTGCAAGACACACCGCCTCATTGCATCAGAACGTTTCCTTTTTGATGGGACCCATTGCCCGTGCTGCTTGCGTGAATTTCACACACATTCCAAGGTCCTTGCACACTTGCGGCATGTCTCTAGATGCAAGGAGACGTTACGGAATCGACTGATGACCTGCCCGCCTGCACCTGGACATGGATCTTTACGAGATCAGGAACTTGCGGATCTTCATGATGGGGCGCTCCCCCTAATGCAATCGCAAGGACCTTCACTCCCAGATCCTGTGCCTCGTTTCTGGGACAGCCATGATATTGTTTTCCTTGAGGCCATTTATTTGCATTTGCTTGACAGCACACGGGAGTGTACATTAGAAGAGACTATGCGTGGTTTCATTTCGGCATATCCCATCAGCTGGACAAAATGCAAAATCACTTTGCAAGCATTCTGTGATCAATTGACACAGGAAGATGCTGAAGTGTTGTGCTGGGCAAAAGAGGAAATCATTTCGTGCATTTCCCGTCTTGCAGATGCTAAGAGTTGGCCTTTCCTATATGATCCTTCAGCGGTTCCTTACCATGAGACACCGGCAGACATATGCGATTGGGAAGACTGGTGCAAGAATCTTGATGCCAGACCACCAGCCGAGTGGATGCATTGGACCCCGTTGCCCAAAGCGCTCACGAGACACAAGATTCTGCTTCATGCTTTCGCAGGTCGTCGCCGAAAAGGAGATGTGGAATGGTACTTAGACATTATCGCCCAGGACCACCCGGGTTGCGTCATTAGCACCGTTTCCCTTGATATCATCATCGACCGTGTCCATGGTGACATTGCGAATCCCACTACACGTGCAATGTGGTTGAACTACATCAGACAAGGTTTTGTTGCTGGATTCCTTGCTGGGCCACCATGTAACACTTGGAGTAAGGTTCGTTCCGTTCAGCTTTCAGATAAAAAGGGACCACGTGTTATCAGGACTCCTGATGCACCGTGGGGTCTCAATGAACTGAAGATGGGTGAGCTTTTCCAAGTGACCATTGGCACAATTTTGTTGGGTTTTTCCATTGAATGTATGTTGGCGATCTCGCTTTCAGCAGGATCAGGGATCCTCGAACACCCCAAGGACAGCGATGATGACAACACTGTCAGTATTTGGCGATTACCAATCATGCGCATGCTGTTGCAACTTCCTTGGATGCGACAGGTACACTTATCACAGGGCCTTTTTGGCGCTTCGTCACCAAAACCCACCACACTCCTTGTGGTGGGGATGCCGAAACTGGAACAAATCCTTCATGCTGGAATGCTGAGCAACAAGTTGCAATATGGGCAATCCACTGGAAAGGACGCCAAAGGCAATTTTCATACGGCCCCACTGAAAGAGTATCCGCCAGGATTTTGCATGGCAATGGCACAGTGTTTTGCTTTGGATTTTTGTACCCCTAGTACCTGCACGGAGTGCGGTACTGCATGTGATATGCCATCGTCGTTTTTGAATCTTTGTCAACACATGCAAGATCACGACTTTGGCAAGTTCATAGGGAAGGATTGATTTCCCCCTCGCGAATTCATGGCTCAGTCGCCACGACATCGTGACTGCAGACTGGAGGTAAAAATATATACCCTCTGGTTATGACTAACAGTTTGCCATGGTTTGTTGATGGCCCTAATCGAAATAGATGATGTTCCCAGCGACATCAACCTCCATTTATGGTTGGGATTTTCCATGGCAAACATGGCAAACTGTTAGTCATAACCAGATTTTATAACCAGATTTACCTCCAAACATCCATACATCGTATTCTGTGTGGCCTGATTCAGTTGGGGATGGGTCAAAACCAATAGTACCCCTTCTGTTCACATCAAAATAGTTGGGTTAAAATGGATGTGAATAACCCCCAAAAAATGGTATTTTCATAGGTATTGATCCTTAGCCGCCTTAGCCAGTTCAGAAAATTCGCAATCAAAGTGGCCTCATGGCATCTTCAGCCATGGCCAGAAACTGATGCTGCCGAAAGTTGAGACCATCCTGCAGCCATCGCATCAGAACCTCGGCCAAAAGCCAAGGCACTCCGCTATTTCTATGTTCGCCGCTGAGGATTTTTTGGGATTTAGAGGGATTTATAGGGGATTTATAGTGAATTTATAGTGGATTTATAGGGATTTAGAGGGATTTAGAGGGATTTTTTGGGATTTAGAGGGATTTATAGGGGATTTATAGTGAATTTATAGTGGATTTATAGGGATTTAGAGGGATTTAGAGGGATTTAGAGGGATTTATAGTGAATTTATAGTGGATTTATAGTGGATTTATAGGGATTTATAGGGATTTATAGGGATTTAGAGGGATTTAGAGGGATTTAGAGGGATTTATAGGGGATATAATGTAATGGATAATACCCTCTGGTAAACGAACTTACAGTTTGCGAACTTGAAGCCATGGCCCAGTCGAAAGTGCGTGGATTTACCCAGCTACAAAATGGTGATGTTCCATAGTTATGTCAACGTTTTCCAGAGGCTATATCAACCTGTCTCATCCAAAAAATCTGGTTGCAGCTGCGACACTGAACCAGCTGCCGCAGCCGGATCTTTGGCTTCCAGGGCTGCGTGGAAGTCTTCTGCACAACCTATGTGAAAAACATCACGATTTGGATGTTAAAATCATTGGATTAAGGGAAAATCTTCACCGGAAACCATGGTGTTTACCATCAAATAGGGGGGTGTCCGGTTAAAATTTTACCTTAAACCAATCCATTGTTGAAAAGGTGTATGGATTCATAAGCTGGCACTGGACTCACAAATTTCTCCCTGGATGTGCTTGACTCGATTTTGTCACAACCTCGTTTCATTCGAGGCATATGGTTATGCCTGGGCATGCCATAGTATGGTTAGTATGACCCCATCATTGGTTCATGGTTCATGGATGGCCGCAGGAAGTCGTGGCGCCTGATGGCAAGCGCACGAAGTGTTGCCAGCGAAGTGAAATCACTTGAGAGTTCCTCGCAACCATTCCCCAAGCTTTCATGAAGTCTGGCGAGATCCTCAGTGCCATAGCTCTCCCCCTTCGCAAAAAACATCTGGGATCTATGAATTACCACAGCTTGAAATCGATACGGAAGAACAGTCCGAGTATGGAAGACCGTTTGTGAAGGAGCAAACCTATGAAGCTAAACCACAGCTAAAGCAACTTCAAACAGTGACACAAGGAATAAAAGATAAACTTGAGATAAACTGTACACTGTACGTGACATGAGGCTTTATCTTTTAGTCACTTAGTCAAGGCACAGGAAGTCTTCCAAGACTCCCACAGACTGAAACTTGGCCCAATCGAGAACCAATCTCAAATCCATTAGGAAGGGAGCTGATGCAATCTCTTCCACCGCTTGCTGGATCAAGCTGCTGCGGTCCTCAGAAAACTGCCAAAAAAGATTGGACTCGACAAAGTCATGTTCACATGACAAGCAAAACAAGCAAAAGAACAACACAACAACCTCAGCTCAGCAAGTTTGTTGATCATCTGGGTCTCAATTGCAGACCCCATAGCATGGTCGATGTGTGAAAAGTGCAAATTCGCCGCGATGATGTGTGCAGCGGGCGCCATAGCTTTGACGTTGATGCTTGTAGCTCGCTGCCAGGCCTTACCACTCGGCAGCATGGCAAATCAAAACCCACAGCAAACATCACTAAACAACACCAAACTTACCCTCTGGTAAACTAACATAACTATGGAAAATCACCATTTTTAATGGGAAAACTCACTATAAATGGCCATTTTCAAAGCTATGTTAAATTACCAGAGGGTAGACCATAAAAAACAACATAAAGGACACATCTTTTGCCAAGTTGCGCTGTCAATCTCTTTGTCCGACACTGCAGCGCCAAAATGACGCCAAATTGCCTGTCTTGCTTCAGCAGCATCGCAGCCTGTGGCCTTGCCAAGTTCCAGCAAATCGTGCAGTTTTCGGAAACTCAATCTGCTGGCTGACAGGACTGTACTGTCTTCACCAAGGCCGGAAAATTGCCCAACATTCACCGGCGCAACGCGCCTTGAGATGATCGCAGAAGGTTGCCAAGTCAGTAGCGATCCGGCTATCTTGCCCGCTGAAAAGATGTTCCATCACTGACCCCACTTCAGCGACCTTGAGACCGAGGCAGTACTTCAAGTTGCACATCACTGATGCAGCTTAGAATTTGAGCAGCACTTCTTGCATCAAAAAACCAAGTCAAACTTGTCAGAGGTCAGACTACCGTAGCTACGCCGTAGTTCATGTCATCACCAGGGCACATTTTGGGATAAGAAGCTACCGTAGTTCATGTTGCCAGGGCCCAGCTTCAGCTCTGAAAAATTCGCAACGCCACATTGCCTACACACCTCATCCTCACATTGGCCTACAGCTTTCCTCAGATCGAGTGTTGCAAGTTTCTCAAAGGCCAAACATGGAAGCGTTTTTGTGAAACTCATGGCGAAAACTGACAAAAAAAACATAATCACCTTGGCAATACTGCAATACTTTGTTCAAGTTTCAGTACTTTGTTCAAGTTTGGCTGTCCCATCTCGTCCAAGGTGGCATTCAAAGCTGCCAACAAGTGCTGCAGAACCACCTGCTCACTTTCCCCGCAGCTCAACTCCGCTTTCCCTTCCGCCCGCGGCAATGATTCTGCCAATTCCGGTCTGATGTTCATCAGCTCTGCTAAGGATACTGGTAATTCCTCAGCCAGATGCGCTTAAAACACATGGAAACCAATGAAATCCTGAAATACCTAAGATGACCTCATGACAGCAAACACAATCCTCACCAATCCTCCTGTCATCAAATATTCAATGCGCAAATCCAAAACTTGAACCAAACCAAAAGCCCAAGCTGGCAACTCTCACTTGGAAAAATTTATCTAACCTGACGTGGAGCCAAGCATCACTGGAATGTTTCAAACCACAAAACCTGAGGAGCTCCTGCTCGCCTTTCCACAAAGCCTGGCAGGTCGAGGCCAGGAGGTATGAAAGCAAGCGCTACGAACATGTTGTACCGGAGACTTCTCAGCTGCAAGAGGAAACTGATGACGATGATGGCGGGCACGAATGATGATGATGATGATGATGATGATGATGATGATGATGATGATGATCATGATGATGATGATGATGGTGATGGTGATGGTGATGGTGATGGTGATCATGATGATGATCATGATGATGATCATGATGATGATCATGATGATGATCATGATGATGATCATGATGATGGTCGTGATGATGATCATGATGATCATGATCATGATGATCAGGATCATGATGATCATCATGATCATGATGATCATGATCATGATGATCATGATCATGATGATCATGATCATGATCATGATGGTGATCATGATGGTGATCATGATGATGATCATGATGATGATCATGATGATGATCATGATGATGATCATGATGATGATCATGATGATGATCATGATGATGATCATGATGATGATCATGGTGATGATCATGATGATGATCATGATGATGATCATGATGATGGTCATGACGACGACGACGACGACGACGACGACGACGACGATGATGATGACGATGATGATGACGACGAGGACGACGACGACGATGACGACGACGACGCTGTACTTGCACGCAACCCATGGTCCACAGGGCTAGAGGAGGTCCAGAGGGAGTTCAGAGGGAGTCCAGGGGGTGGAGGGGGACGAAGGCCTATTCCTTGCTAAAGCAGCTAGCACAAGCTAGCTTTCGTGACTTCAATTGAAGCTGCTCTTAGGCTTCGCTTGAAACATCGTTTTGGATAGCGAAGGTGTCATGGCCTTTGCAAAGGTTTTCTCTTCTGGAAAGGATTTTCGAATCGCTTCTGCAACCACTTCCAGTGAACTTTGTCGAAGTATTCTCTGGACATTCTCGACGCCTTTGGCCAAAGACTGGTGGGCTGTGTCGCCTGGTCGGGTGTCGAATCGTAGCATATCATTCGGGAAGTCCTGGATCTTAAACTTAGAGTCTTAGAGAGACTTAGTTTTCAATGGATGGTGATGCCAATCCCGTTGTTGGAAAACTGTCAGAAGAGTGGAGACGCCACAGCAAGTCAAAGCAAACAAAGCTCAACGGCACCTGCCACATCTGTCACATCTGCCACGTCTCCTGCATTTCCCGCATCCGCCCTCTGCTTCACAGTGGCCACGTGAGCAGCCGAGGTTGCAATCAACAGCAACGGCGCGATGAGGTTTTCAATGATGGCAACCTGGGGCATCCCAGGTCCGCGATCCCCTGGGGCATCCATACGTGCTCTGCCAATACGTCTGAAGACATTTTAGAAAGATCAGTCCAGAGTCCAGACATCTGCAGTGATGCTGCAGCTTATGCAGCTTAGCTTCTGGGTCTTGGCTTTCAAATCTTTCAACTTCTTGAAGAAGAACTTGTCGAACACAGAAGAGTTGTTCAGAGACGGACTTCAGCGAGGAAAGTTTCTGGAGGAAGGGCAACCATCTGTTTGAGTCCCACTGATAGCGGAACCCAAGGTGACCTCAGCTTGCAGTGATTTGCAGTGCAGCTAGCGGTTGCTGCATCAACTTCTACTTCAAAAGAAAAGGCAGTCCATCCATATGGTCTTTCCAAACTGTCCATGTCTTTCCTGTCCTTTGATGATTATGATGGCATGCTCAAGTCAAAGCGACCTGCAGATGTCTTCTCCTTGAGGACCTTGTTCATATGTTTATCAAGTGCTCTTCGTCTCTGGAGGGCGTGCTTCACCACAGTCTTCCTGGACATCAAGTGACTGATTGTGTGAAGTCCTGCGATGAATGCCATGGAAGAGGCTAGGACGCGGAAAACGCGGAAAGTCACCAGTCCCTGCAGTTCTGACTGAGACGAGAGTGTTCAGTCAGCTTCAGCTGGGCACATTAGGTTTCATGATCAACCCCATACGACAAGAAATTGTAAAGAATCAGAGACAAGAAAGGTAGACCTTTGCTGACTGTTCTGAGTTGCGGTCAGAAGCGGTCGGAGAAACCCAAGCAATCTTCCAGCCGGAAGGCCGGTAGAAATTGAAATTCCGTTCTCAATCACTGCCAAGAGTCAACACATGTTCTCTCTGGACATAAACACCGATGTGACTATAGTGAGGAAGCCGCAAATACTCAGCGGCATGAGCCAGACCTGCTTCGACGCTCCAGGACTGCTCCTTATGATTTTGAGCAGGACGCTCAGGAAACCAAGTGATTTGGTCTTGTGCATGGGTCATGGCTAGTTGGAAACTGAAGGTGCCAAGACCAAATCTTTCCAACCAACTACAAGAACCACTTGCAAACAAATCAAAACTTCACCTGAACTTGGCATTTGAAAAGCTCAGCCGAGAGTCAAATTTCTTCTCTGAAAAGCTGTCATTCTTCAACCAACCTTCCACCATGAGATTCATCAGCTGCTCCCCAGAGATCCTGAAACGCGAAAGTTGCGATTCTGCGAAGCCAAAAAAAGTCCCAGAGATATCGATCAAATATGCCACCGGATGGATTTGGTGTGACACGGCATCAAATATTGACCCATTTTATCATCAAATATTGACGACTACTTCGGGGGATATGATATGATCCTTTCATGATCTTTCACAGACTTTCTTCGAGGACAAATCCAAGTTGGAAAGGCCTCGACAATTTGGCCCACAGATGGAAGACTTGAAATGCCAAGAAAATACCAATCAACAGCAACATGATGCAACATGCACTGTGACTTTTGTGCATCGAAGAGTCTTTGGAAATTCACTTGGAAGGCTGTGGGCCGCTTCAGTGTGTGCTTTCTCATTCAGAAAATGAAGCACCATGGGATGATACATCAAGCTCCCTAGCCCAGAATCTGCAAAACCGGCTCCGTGTCCGTGCCTAGGTCCACAATCCGAGAAGCCAAATGAAACATGGTTCGCTCCATTCAAACAACAATGAGTCACCAAAACAAAAAAATCTGAATGACTTGTACTTACCCAAATTCGCTGACACCTGTGCTGCGCAAAGTGTACACAGCTCTGAAAATAACATGTTCAGATCACGATCTGAAGCAACTCGAACTTTCAACTATTTGCAGGGCAAGACGCAAATGCTTGAAGTCTGCACCTTTCATGATTGTCGTCTCCAAATCATGAAAGGTAACCTGAATCTCACAAGCTGAAAAATCATGGAAAAAACTCTTCAGCAACTGAAAGGTGTCGTATTTTTTTGTTGTCAGACAATGAAACACATTCGTTGGACGAAAAACAAAAAAGCGCGCCGATGGGCATCCCGCATAGCCAGTCCACAGTCCGCATGGATCCACAGTACAACCCAAGCAGCAATTGGTAATAAGGACACAGCAATCCAAATGGTGGTGTTGACGAAGAACCTGAAATCTTGGTCGTCAAAAACAGCAATTCACATGGACATGAAAATCATGACAATGGTCGGATAAAATCACTGGCTTCACCCATGTCCGACTGCACGTGTATCCATTCATATGTTTGTTCTATCTGCACGTTCCGATCAGAGTCAGCGACTGGAAAACACCAAGGCCAAAGAACAACAAGACAAACATATACAAACCGAAAACCTAAGGGTAGCAAGGACGGATTGATGAGGGTATCGGCAATCAACTTAAATGGGGGAAAAAACATGCCAGATATTCATGCAAAACTGCAATGGAAGTAAAGTTGTCGCAGGAAACAACATCAGTTTGGGTGTGCCAAACTGTAGCGCCAACAACCAGCAGATAGAAATCTGCACGGCGAGGGACTGCATCCTCATCTGATGGGTGAAGAGGCCACCAATCTCCTGTCCATCTGTCGAAATTGCAAGAGGACTCGAAAGGATTTGTAGCAAAGAGATGCAACAACTACCCTCTGGTAATTTAACATAGCCATGGAAAATCACCATGTTTAACAGGTAAACCATCTATAAATGGGCCATTTTCCATGGCTATGTTAAATAACCAGAGGGTACAGAAAGTTGGTTTGAAGAAAATCCAACGGCCTCTCCAAGTCTGTCCTGATCCTTCAACAATTGTTGTTGCTGCATCCGACGCAGTGCACAAACAGCATCCAGCTCAGCACGGACGGCTTGCGCGGACAAGTAACCATCCTGGCACAATTGACAAGTCAAAGAAAAACGAAAGACATTGACTGTGCTGTGGCAAAGATTGGTGCGTCGATGGAACTTCTTGTGTTTGTTTAGTTATATTTCATGGACTTAAGAAGCCTTTCAAACATATCTCTGTGGTGTCCTGGCTGACGTGTTGCTTGAACGCTCGCATCAAGTCTTCTTTGCCACCGCGCTGTGTCTGCAGCCGACTGGTGATTTTCATTTTTTGCCGCGCATGGCCATACACCTCATCAAGTGGAGCAAAGGAACATAAGCCAAAAAAACAACGCTGTGTCGCATCAAAACGCATCGAAAAAACAGTAGAATTTTGGCTCGGTTGCCATTGACAACAGCGCATCCTGCATTGAAGCAATCTCGCAAAGTCTGGAATCCGCTGGCCCGTCCTTCTGGAAACCATCCACTTGCAATGTACAATGCACCAGGTATAGCCATAGCTGTGATATGCTGTGATCTGTAAATGTCATAGCTGAGGATGTCTATCTACCATCATCACTTAAATGCCAAGCTTTTTCGGGATGCAACTGACCATTTTTTCTTTCGGTCCCCTTTCGGTCCCGTCCTGATCAAACAGCGCTAAGTAGCGCTTCTCAGAATCCAACGCCTTTGAGATCCATTTGAGATGAGCTGCAGGACCATCCGCAAGCAGTGGAGGCCCCAAAATCTTCACCAACGGAATCCTCACGGGCTGAAGCGCGCTAATGTCACAAAAACATTGGAAACTTCTGGCGATCCCAGAGGATTCTGATATCTTTCTGATGATCTCCAGAAGAGGGGCTGAAAGTATTTCAAAGGTACCGAGCCAACAAGAGTCACCTGCGGCCAGTGTCACACAGGCATAAAATGGCACAAACGCCCCCGACGTCATGTGGCAATGAAGATGTTGATTTTCACAAGCCCATGTGGACCACATCACGAAGTGACTAATAGTTGCTAAGTCATGAAAGCCAAGGTTTTTTGATTTTCGACAGCCTTCATGTCGTTAGAGATTGGCTCTATGTGAAAGAGATCCGGGCGTCGACGAAGTGAGGCACGGATCAAATGCTCTAAGGAACAAGTCTGGCCTGAGAAGCAACCGGCACAAAGAGGTGCAAACGGCGTGGCAAACGGTTGCAAGTTGCGATGCAAGTGAATAATTGTCTCATATGAGGGAAAGCTGACAGAAAGAAAAACAAGAAAAAATAACATATCCAAAATTCTGCCAGCGACTGAAATTTCCATCGTGCTGTTCATCATTTTGGTCCTGTTGGTCCTGTTGGTCCTGATTCTCTTCCAGGTCTTCGTCGTTGCTTTTGGAGTGTGCGGAGGTTGACCTGGAGTTCTCCCAGGCCTTGTGGCGATTGTCTTTGGCCGCCAGCTTCAAGACTTCCGCTGTTTGCAAAAGTTCTCCTGAAGTTCTGATCAAAATCTGGCAGCAAAACAAGCAAAGGCAACTGAGGCAACTGGAGAAGCACTTGGAATCTGTTGTTTTGTTCATGACAGTTGTGACATGTTATGACAGTGAACAACTTCAGAATCTGATAGAATCAACTGAGCCCCCTTTTGGCAATCGTATCTGTCAGGGCTACCTTTTGCAGTGTCATGAAGAAAGATGAACATGATCCAGCAAGCCAATGATCTAACATACGCAGCTGAGGACATGTTGTGACTCGACAGAACGTACGGCAATCCGAGGTACGGAACGTGAGCGGCCGCCCTGCAAGCTGAAGAAGAGCACACAGCGCTTCTTCTTCAAACCTGGCAACGAAGAACACGTGAAAGCAAAACAAACGCAACAGAACAAAGTTACCATCTGGTTATTTAACATAGCCATGGAAAATGGCCCATTTATAGATGGTTTACCTCTTAAAAATGGTGATTTTCCATGGCTATGTTAAATAACCAGAGGGTACAAAGAGGATGTTCAACGAACATGTGACCCCAAGTTGTTCACTTGAGACGTCGTTTCAAGACCCGGGTCTTCAACAACCGCCCTGTACTGTGTAACGATGGGAAACTGATCTCGCCAGGACTCCCCACGTTGCAGTGGCAGTTTCTGCCGCCACGAGGCCAGTTGGCAACAACAAGTAGGTGGGACCTGCCACAGAATTCAACACAGTCGCTTTCCCATTGATCCAAAACTGATTCATAGCGACTGATCATCTGAAAATCTGAGATGTTCAATCGTTATTCATTTCGAATTTCAAAAGGATTTGATCTCATCATTTTGAATTCAGCAGTCTCACATAGTCCCACGTTAACGTTGCATTTCTGCATTTCGCGGCAGTCCCAGCCTGGAGGTTTCGTAGAGTTTCTGCGTTGCAATAGCCTGGAGATGTTCATGTCCATCTCCAGAGGGCAACGACAGTCCACGACAGTCCATGTCAACACAAAACCTCGTAACATATCATGACTAGTAAAGTTGGAAATTCCATGCCATGTTTGCCCGGAAAAACACATAAAAAAGGCAAAGATCTGAACAACTCCCACAAACTCCAGCAGAACTGAAACATATCAAATTACATTGAAGTGATGCAAACACAATCAAATTGAAACCGGATGAAATGCAGTTCTTCACTTTTTTTTCATGTATTTTTGGTGAATCCATGTATTCATTCAAACCATGCTCCACCTGGTAACCTTCACAAACAAAAACTGAAAATGTGTCATTTGATCTAAACTTAAAATTCATGATCAAAGCTGGCAACGTTCACTTTGGGTCATAGTTTGCTAAAACAATTCAAAGCAAGTCACACATCCCGCGAAACTTTTCCCTCATCCATGGCTGCGCCGCAATTCGAAGCAATGGAAATTGAAAGGAACCGAAACCTTTTGTCACACTGAGACACAAAAACGACACACAGTTCTATCGAAGTAAAAAAAAAATGATCGATGATCCCAGCATCTTTCGACTGACTTTTCGAGCATGTGCTATAGTTTTTTGGCAGACTTAAACCAGCTAAGCCCATGTGAGTCGGAACCATGTGTGCTATGCCGCCGCTGTTTCGCTTCATTTTGTGTAGTCTATCATCCACTCTTTGCCTGCAGCATGTGTAAATGTCCTTGTCAATTAGTTTTCCACAGTTGTCTGGGCAACCTGCAAGAAGATGTTAACAAGGATATGTTTGTTGACAAGTTGAATCTAATCATAACATTTTTTTCTCTTGGAAACCATTGGCAGAAGCGATGCCATGATACACTTCATCCCCGAAAGTTCCGAAAATGTATCAACAATTGAACATGAAAACATTTTAGCTACACGAAAACACAGTTTACATATGAAAACAATGAGCGAAACTCTTACCAAATTGTGTTTTCTAATGTTTGTACGTACTATGATGTGAGTTCAAAATTCCTGAAATGGATGTTCTAATGTTATTTACTATTAGATAATGAGTAAAACATTTGATTTTGAGATGGAAATTTGGTGAAACGTGCCTGACTTAGCCATGACAGAGTGAAACGACCAAATTAAATCCCTGTAGCCAAGATTGGATCCAAAAACGGCGCCTAATTTCGGCAGGATGGCTGGCCCAATTCCTCAGAGCTGGGGCACCCCCATTGTGGTTTCGAAGTTGTGAAAGTTCCCGATTTTTTTGCCCGTCTCTGATACATCATTTTTTATAAAAATCGGGTTCTGTCACCCACGTGTCGTACATGTCGTACGTGGTTGTGCCATGTCGTTTTCTATTTTTTTTCCTTTTGTCATATTTTGTTGTCTTTAATTTTGATTTTTTTCGTTTTTTCCTGTTTCTCTTTTTAGTCTCTTCTTCTTGTTCCTCTGACAGACTTGCGGATCGACCATACATGATCAAATTTCAAGGTTCTAATCAATTCTCCGGCAGTTTGTCCCCGGGCGTGTCTCAATTTTCCAGACAACAATGTCTGTTTCAAGCGACCAAACCAGATTTGGTTGGCTTTCAAAAGTAAACCATTGCATATGTCCACAGTTTGTTTGGAAGTCATTTTAGTGATGGAAAACTAGAATCCAGGCGGCACACTGATTTGTCAACGGTTTGTGCAATGCAATCCTTCAGCAAACTGATTTCACAAATATTTCAAAGTTGTTTTCCCTTACCATCTGCGGTTTCTAGAACGAAAAAATGAAACTGCGAAAGCAACGGCAGCAAGCGGTCTCTTTTTCCTTAAGCCGACAGGCCTCGTAGTACAGACATGAAATTGTTCACATGTCCATGGTGAAATGTAAATTCCACGGCAAATGATTGTGAGTGTCATCCTTGCGCAGGGTGCCATGTTATCTTTGAGTGTGGTCCAAATTTCTTCGGACTCCTCCTTGCTGGGTTGAGGCATGAATCAAGCCAGCATATTTTGCACCGCACCTGCGCTCTCACAACCAAATCGCAGGCTTCTGTCTTTTCAGGCAACTGGCATTATGGTTACGCGGAGTGGCCAGTATTCCGCGGCATGAAAACTTTGCTTGGCAAATGTTTCCTCTTTGGCTTTGTTTGGCGACTTCATTTCGAAGTCTCTGTGCTGCAAAAACTTGTTTCACAAGTATGCCATTTCTCTGAGTAGATGACTGTATTCGCGGTATCGATCTGCAACAATCTGACTTGTTTCAGGCTGTCTGTTAGCCATCAATTGAAGTCTGTCAGCAGCGGCAGTAAAATACTGGATCTTAAGGTTTCGTGGCACGGGTTGGTGGCTATTCACAAGGTTCAACATCTGTAAAAGCAAGTTTCGAAAGTCAGTCACATCAGCGTTTGACCTCCTCATCAATGCTTCGTACAGCTCGCTCTGAAACGTAGATGAGACCTGATTGTAGCCTGAAATTGGTGCAGCCAAATTGACTTCGGGATCATCGGTCGCAACTTCAGATTCTCCTCCTTCAACCAATGCCATTTCAGTGTCCTCCGCTGCTAGATGGACTCCACGATTGGCTTGTCGAATTGTGTTCAAATATTGCTGCATTCCCATCGTTTTTGCTGAAATCAAATTTCCTCTCTCAACTGAATACATCCTCGCTCTTTGCTCCGGGGTGAGCGTGTCAAAGTATGTATATCCACCTAAGTGGATCACTCCCCATTGAACACTCTCAATGCTGTCACACAGCATTTCCTGTTGCCCGTTGAGCTCGCCGTAGGTAACACGCAAACGTCTCACTTCTGCTTGAGTCTCAGCTAGATCATTGCAGAGTTTATCCACGAGAGGCTCCGAAACGTAGATGTCAGTTCGAATCTTTCGGTACACCTTATGGAAGAGGTAAATCAAACCAGTCAGCAAAAGCATGCAAAAGCAAATGAAAAACTCGTAGATTGTAAACTCGGAACATTGGGCTCGAATGCACATTGTTGCAAATCTTCAGAAGCATCACCAGGAACAAAACTTCCTGCAGCTCCCAAAATGCCATCGGTAGGCCCAAGGCCCATCATCAAAATGACTCGCGCAACTTGTTTTGCAAGCAAACCAACATGTTTCACTGACCCATGTTTTCTGACTTGAAGTTGATACTCTTCCTCTCCACTTGCAACTGTACCTGACTCACTTGACATACTGATTTCGTGCAGCAAAAAGCGAAGTCTGTTTCCACCTAAGGGCTTTGTTCCCAAATCACTGAGATTCCATATTGTTCCAACTTGAGCCAACTGAACAGAACCCTCAGCTACAGCTTGTTGAATCCATAAGATTCTACCTGCAACATGCTTTAACTTTCCGGGTCCCAATCTCAAGGCAATTTGCCTGGCGGAAGAAGAGTCCACCAGCAAGTAGTGCTCAACCTGGCAGTTCATCACAAACTGGATGCATCTTTTGAGGTAGATGCCATCGTAAAGACATGAAACCATGGAATGGAGTTCGGCTTCGCAACTGCTTAGGCTTACTACTCTTTGGGTTTTACTTGAAGCATATACAAACGATCCATTCAACATGTGCAGTCCACAGGAAGTGGAACGGCGATGGGCTTGATGCCCTGACCAGTCAGAATCGCTATAGCTCTCAAGAATCCAATGCTTTTCGGTGGTTTTCAGTTTTCCCTGACCTCCTACAGGCATTTCAAGCATCATGCAAAACTCAGAGGTGGTTTTCACGTAACCTACCAACTTCCTCAGTCGTGCAACAGCTGTCAGCGTGGGTTTGCTCATTGAAGAACTAAGTTCTTTCACTGTGAACAAGAGATCCGGGCGATCTCGGGCAAGATACAACACGGTTCCTACAACTGACCTAAAGGCATATGCATCGGCTGAGTTGAGGCTGGCACTCAAATCCTCTGTTTGGATTGAGCTGTCACAGGGAATTGTTTGCGGACGTGCCTTTCCAAAATAGGCTTCAAAACCATGAATCACTTTGGCAATGCTTGTACCTGGAAGCAAGGCTAAACCACTTGGAACACGTCGCAACGTTCTTTTCAGGAATTGGATCTCGGTGTCAACATTTCCCAACTGCGAATGGCTGATGGAGTACCTCTGTTTCAAACCTTTCAGGAAGACATCCCAGTAGGCTCCATCACCGCAAAGCATCACATCATCAACATGTACCATGATGCAACAGTGCTCATTGCGAGCAAGACAGGGCTGCTCAACACACCATTCGAAACCAAAGTCCTTTGACAAAGTTTCACGAAAGTGCATGTACCATGCTTTGGCTCCTAGTCTTTGACCTGGAAGATTCTTTCGCACACGGTATTTGCTGTTCAGAAGTGTGAGGGCCATTGGTTTGACCTGGTCAACCATCAGGAAAGCGTCCTTTATGTCCACTGTTCCAAGCACGGGTTGCTTGGGATGCATTTGGCTTTCACAGGAAGGCAGTTCTGAGATCCTTTGGGGATACAACATCGGAAGCAGATTCAAAATGTGAGTGCTGGTGGCAGGCGAGTATGTGTCATTTCTTTTCTCCCAAAAGGAGAATTCTCTGGCTACAAGACGGGATCTCCTGAGCCATTTCTTTGTTGTTGTTCCATCCTCACAGATGAAATCTTTCACACGCCAATCTCTCACGAATTTGGTCGTGAGCTGCTCTTCATCTTTCAAATCATCAGCATGAACCTCCTCTATCACCTTCATCTCACACAACCTCACAAGTTCAACTTGATCTGCAATCAGGTCGATCTCATGGCTTGGGTCATCCGGCTTTTGGTCAAGCGGATTGTCAGAACAAAGCTCTTTGGGAAGCTCTCCAAAAGCTATCTCTGTTCATCATACCATTCATCATCCATGTCGTGGTCATCAAGGCGCAAATCACTCTGATACTCATCCATCGTGTGGAAAACATCATCCGCAATTCTCACAGTGCGGATCTGTGCAAAGTACTCTTGCTTCTTGGCAGATTCAACCCTGGCACGTTTTGCATCATTACTTTCATCATCACTATGCACATCATGAACCCTCGTGGATGCAGTAGCACGTGGTGTGCTCGGGGCAATTGGAATGACTTCAGGGGTCTGTGGCACATCTGCAGGCATAGGCATAGAGCTTGAGGCATTTGACCTGGCAGGTACAACGGGTTCAGGCTGATATGCAACTGAAACTGGACCATCATCTGCAAAAATCTCATCAATGGTAACACCTGGGGATGCAGGAGCAGGCTCCTCCTGAATCTCAGCTTGAGCAACTGGCTGTGGCCTATCATGCAAAGACATCTCATTTGTTTCTTCTTCTTCTCGAACTTCTTCCAAGTGTTTCTGTCGAACAGCTTCGGCATCCTCGTCAACAAAAGGGCTAGGCTCTATGGATCCTGTTGGACCACTGTAGGCGGCACCTAATGCAGTTTTGGAACTTTTGGTTGGAAGAACTCCACCACCATACCCAGGCTTATATTCCCAGCTCCAATGAGAAAACATGTTGTAGTACTTCAGATGGGATTTCCAGTTCACATCAATGCGTCTCACACTTCGAGTCAGCACCAAACCAGAACCATCGTACAAGATGTAAGTGTCATGAGGCTCGGTCTTTCCAACAAATGCGTTGGGCTGCGGCTTTCCCTCAACTTCGCAGTAACCAAAAACTGGTTCCCCAAAACGACACAATTTTCCCGTGAACTCTTTGCCATGTACAAATCTCAAACGGAGACATACCTTTGGTGGGGCTGAAGCGGTTGATCAGCCATGCAGCATGTCGGAGTGCCCACTTGAGAAATCAACACCTACCTGCTCAGACATGTAGTGCATCAAGCTCCAGCAAGGGGTCGAATGCGTCCTATCACATCTTCAACTAAACCATTGGAATGAGAATACGGAGGTGGTGAACTTGCATGCGTTGTCAAACCCATTGATCTCCTGGCATTCGCAACATATCCTGCAAAAGAGTGGGTTCGTTGTCACAGCGAAACGTCAGCTCGGCATGACCTAAAACTCTGGCAAACATCAAAAGTTCCTGCACCATGAGGTTCCACTGGTTCTTGCTTCGCAGAGGTGCGATGTGGACATATCCACTGGCAGAATCGGTCATCACCATACTGGTGATCGATGAGATCTCTTTTTGCATCACTTTCGGAAGGCACAGATTTTGTATACCCAAAATCAAAACTGATACAGGGAGTACTTGACCTTGTGGCAGGTGTCCTCGTGGCTCAGTTGGTAGGGCGTCGTTGTTCTTGACGGCGCTGACAGACTGCCGGTGGTGGTTCGATTCCCGGGCTCGGGCAAAAAAAACCTTGTGGCACCTAAGCGTTCATGTCGGTCGCTCCTAGCTCGAAAACAAACACATGAGGCACACCATAGTTGGTAAGGCAACTGGGTCAACTCATGAAGCTGTTGCTCGATGGAGGTGTCTGCAACTCCATGGATCTAGGAACCTGGTGAGTTCCTGTTGTGCATGCTCGGCAGCGGCATGTACCACCTGGAGCTCCAACTATTTCTGGTGTTCAAGCAAACGTTTGAAGCATTTCTCACGTGATCCAGAAGTGCTCAACCCATAGAAACTCAAAAGCAGCAAGGAGAGGTCTGAGGGCGCTTTCAGCATTCAGTTCAACACCATTGACAAGTACCATGTCAGTTGGAGAAGGAGACATGACAATGCGTTCTTCAAGAGGCACTTGAGCACCTTCAACTGAAGAAGCATCTCCAATTTCAATCCCCAAAACCTCATCTGCGGGTCCACCATAATATCATCAGGCACTTCTTGGCGTTCAATGGATCAAACAAAGGTGGATCGTCCCCAAGAGCTTGAAACCCACAACAACTGGATCCTTCTCGCCTTCAGTGATGATCGTCAAAGTATCTCTTGAACCCTTATATCCATAGAACTCAGCACTGGATCCAGGAGGCTTTCAAGTGGCTCGCAGAGTTCGAGCACAAACCATTCACCATGATCTCTCAGCAAAGCGGTGCGGGACCAACCTGCTGGCAAGTCGAAGAGCTTGAGTCACCTCAGCTTTGACAGTGTTGATGTGGAGAGGTTGCAACTGCTCCTCCTCTTTTTTTTGGCCGGCGCCCTTTGCCTTTCGGCGGGTCACCACTTGAGGCTTACTCGCGGACCAGCGGGGAATCGAACCACCACTGGCAGTCTGTCCGCGTCGTCAAGAACGACCCACCAACTGAGCCACGAGGACACCTTAGGTTGCAACTGCTCCTCCTCAACCTTTGGCTCCTCATTGATAATTCTTACCCATCCCTTGACAACAATGGATCGATGTTGCAGCTCGACTGGAACTCGTACATCACCAGTTTTATGAGTCAAAGCTTGCTTTTTGGAGTCAAGTCCCCAGCCACATTCAAGCATCTTTCCAAAACTGAGAATTGGTTGATGGATTCGTGAACTCACAGCTGCACGTTTTGGATGGTGATTAGGCGGCCATGTTGGTCTAAAAGCTGAATTTCCATGTCACGCATGTCTTCAACTGGGATTGCGGTACCTTGGGCATCATGCAAAACAACAGTTTCATCAGCGACCTTGACACCAAACGAGGCTGGAAAAACGCTGCATCGGCTCCACTGTCAAGGAGTATGGTCTGCAAATCGGAATCGGAGGGCAATTCTGTCACCACTGCACGGATGTCAGCAGGCTGAAATGGTGAACCACTCGAATTGAACCATCATTTGATTTGGGTGAAGATTGCGGGCTATTTTGCAAAACATAACGGAGTCTTGCTCAGAGATACGTGCGACACGGGACTGGGGGCTTTCGAAGGCTGTGATTGAGAAGCTTGAGATGGCGGCTCGGACGTCTGTGGCTGTTGGTTGGAAACACTGACTGGTAACATGCGTCCATTCAGATTGACCAGAGCCACCAGCAGTTGACTCTCGACTTGTCGAACATTGTGTCTTTTTTTTCCGAGCCCGTTGCCTTTCGTGCGGAAAATTTAAACCCAAGTTGGTTTAAAAATCCTTTCTACGTAAATCCCAGGACCTACACCTAGATGCAGTTCCTACAACCTACGCAAAGCGAAGCTTACGCAAAAAACGCGGTTCCCACACAAGCTCTCAGGTTCGGAACAGCTC